CTTTTGATCCATGAGCTTTCTCTCGCTTCTTGTTAGAATTTTTAGTCCATTTTATGAATTATGAAGATTCTTATTTATAGTTTTAGAATAGAAGAATTGTGATTGGAACAAATTTTCTCTTCGACCAATTTGATTTAAGTGACATGTCATATGGGTTTTATGGAGCGAGCTTGTTATTTGACACATGCCATGATCCTATTGGCTTCTTTGTTTGACTTGGCATGCCACATCATTTACCACGTGACACAAAAAATGGGTCTCTAGGATGAGATGAAGTTGAACTTAACAAACTGGGGTCATCTATTGTAGCTCAAATCAATTAATTTAGACTTTAATTAAATCAATATTTATTGGACTTAAATAATCAACTCAATTATATTGATCCATAATATTTATTCGGACCAGTAGATTCATAAATTTAATAAAATCCGAATCATTTTATAAATTTATATTTAACAAATTTTAAATGATTACAAGAAGTTACAAATGGATAGATAAATGTTAAAAGATATAAAATAAATAGCAATTCATACCTTCAATATAGAAACATACACTACGTCAATGCAAATAAATAGTTTAAAAACCGGTTGAAATGGAAAATTAAATTGAGCTTAATTCAGGATTCTCTTAGAATGAATTAAGACTTGAATGAGCTAAGAGTGAACCCAATTCAAACCCTTAAAATTTTGGACAAATTAAGTGAGTTAATTATAATTAGGCTCATTTTTCACGCCCCAAAGTATGTACATCACATGTATGACTTTTGCCTTGTCATCGTACATCACATGTATTAGCTGTTCCAGCAGAATGACTTGAAGACTACACCAAAAAGACATTATACTTTTGTACAAGTATATTTGATAAAACTCCACTTTTCTCAAATATATATATGGAATAGAAAGTAAAACATACTAGTCGATAGTTGGAATTTGGCTTCCGAGTTGAATTTGAGTCTGTTAAATAGAAAGAGACGTCAATGATATTTTCTTCTGCTAAATCGATAGTCGAAGTCACAAGTAATCTCCATCTCGAATCAACCACCAAACCAAGGTTTCAGAAGGCATTGGGTATCAGCACAAGTAGAGGTGACGATTGAGCGGGTTGAATCAAATTTAGATAGGTCATAATGGATTAAGATAACAATCGAATCAAAACACAATTCTACCCAAATTCGCTTGGGTCAAAATGGGTTAGGTAATGGATTACATTACCGATCTAGATCCAATCCAACTCAACCCAATTTTTACCAAGACTAATTGTTCTATTTGTTCTTTTAAACTTTTTTAGTACCTAATAGTTTTTTTTCTCTTTATTATCGCTATATACAATATATCAAATTGAAAAAAAAAAAGTTTTTAAAAAATATTTTGACAAGATTTTTCATGAGCAAATTCGAGTTACATACCAACCCAATTTTTAATAATTTGAAATAGGTTGATCTAATGAATGAGCGGGCCAGTTAAACGAGTTGAACGAATTGAGTTTGATTGTGGGCAAGGTTTTGGCATTAGCTAGCATGTGGATGCCAAAAAGTTCCAAGTAAGATTAGTTAAAAACGGAAATCAATGGCATAAAAAAAGAAGTGACGTTATCTTGTGTCACTTACATATGCATATTAAATCCCAAGATGATCTCAATCCACAACATATAACTTAAAAGGACAAATTACTTAACTACACTCATTTACTTACCTTAATATTCATTTATCCCTACTTATTTCAAAAATTTCAAAAATCCCTTATTTACTTATGTATCCCGCATGTATCCCGTTATGTGGAATGTATCAAGCGCTATGTATCCCGTGCACAACGTTATGTATCCCGCTATGTGGAATGTATCAAACCTAATATATCCCGTGCACAACGCTATGTATCCCGCAAACATCATTTTTAAGGAATTTTTGGTAAATAGAAAACTAGAAGGGATAGGATGTTATTTAGTACTTATAATATGTGGTTCCTATAATTTATACTAACTTAAATTCAGCCAACAATTTCCTTTTATGCATTCCTTGTTGGTAGACAGAGAAGTTGACCTCAAAAGAGTGTTATTCCAGAGAACCCTGCATAACTACATAACTATAATCATCAAGGTATCCTCATCATTTAAAAGAGCCACTGAATGTTGGAGGTAGGGAAGAGAAGCAACAACGTTTTCAACAAAAGAGCCACTGATTCAAATAGACATCTCTATTCCATGAAATCTAAAATCTAAAGAATGCTCTTCATTACTTAAAATAGCATCATCTCGTGCACATGTGTGGAGCAGTTTATCCCAGAGAATCTCATATTTGACATATCCATAATAAAGATTAGTACTAGAGCATGGCAAAGAAAGATTGTAATACTGCATTAGTCCCCCATCCGCTAAAAATAAATTATAAGCAAGTGGTTTGTAATACTGCATTAGTCCCCCATCCGCTAAAAATAAATTATAAGCAAGTGGTCAGTACCTAAGAAATTATCATCATCTCTGAAAAACCAGATACCTTCCCATTTCGAAAAGTTATTAAACAGAATAAAAGCATTTATCCCATTCGACAAGGTATTCCGTCAATCATTTATTCTGGTACCTAAGTGACTCATTATTAGGATATTGAGTGAAAGATTGACTTCAACTGACGGCTATGGGTCTTAGATCATATGACATCATACACTTTAAATTGTGTTTTCTTTCACCTCATGATATGAAGATTATGCAAACATCTGGTCTAAGATCCACATATTCTAAGTAATGTGAGCTCCCAATTTGATAACATATAACTCATTCCTTCTTGAAGCACATAAATCTATCATCCTCCTACTTAAGCATTGACATCAATCTTTGGATTGCATTCCCAGTCGATTTTGATAACTAAAATAATCTTATACGATTCCTTAACATGGATGTCAGAATGTCAGGACATTCTCTTGATCAGCAAAGTTAAGGAAACTTGGTTTCATACAACATATAAATTAAGTTCACTATCACCACAACTGGGAACCGGAAAACTAGGAGCACTTTCTTTTAATAGCTCTGCTGAACCCCAAGCAAAATGCAAGAGAGGGCACAACACATAGATGATGGATAATGTCATGCTGTGTAGCATGCTTAACATTGCATAACTGGACATGCAAAACACTCCCAATAAAAGATCTTCATAAATGGTGGATACCGCAACAACAGAGTTGTGCTAATGAAGACTTGTCATTATATGTTCACTAATTAATGATGGAAAAAAATATATGTTCAATATTTAATCTTAAAGACAACTCCTTAACATAGATGATTTAGAGAGTCCCTCAATAAAGGTAGCCACCACATAGGACAACTGCTTGATCTTATACCACATTACGATACTCTACAAGTATTTGATTAATAATAAAGCAATAAATACCCAAAAAGGAAACAAGTTGCATACCGTCCAACAATAATCTTTTGATTTTTTTAAGTGGAAAAGACAAATAATGGAGACAGAATAGTCTGGTGAAGATGGCTAAAGCTAGCTCGTATGGAAATGAGGACAAAACGTGCTTGATACCCATGGTGGTAGCCATCTATCTCCAGATCCTGTAATTACTCAATCATATACTAGTAAGTGTACTCTCAATTTGTTCCTCAGAATCTCCATTTCACCATTCTTACGGCTGTTCAGAAATGGGATATTTTCTCTAGCCAAAATGTGGAAACTACATCATTTGGCAATTTTCATAAAAGACACTACATTTGTCTATATTTTCCACCTGATTAGCTGGCAAACTATAATTACTTGAGCATATTGCTGGCTCAGTTTTAGCAGCATTACCAGCATTTTTCTTTCAAAGCTCCACCTAGGTCAGTACTTAAACCTTTTTTAAGCTTTCACAAATAAGGGTACTCTCCCATCAGGCCATTATACACACTCCTTTACTCACTAAGCCATACTTCAAACTCTTTGTTCTGTATGACATAAGATACATTTTATACCAGGATTTAAAGGTTGCAATTGTGTAAATAAATACTCATACTACCCTAAACATGTCATACACAAGTAGAACCTTAGAGAAATTCTATAGAATCCTAAAATAGAATAGTTACCTCACAGTATGATCCATGATAGAATTCACACAATATCCTTCACAAGAAGTCTCAAGAGAACATTTCACACAAACTTCCACACCTCAAAATCAATCTCTACTAGACTAGTGTCAAATCTTGCTAAATATGTTTTCTTAGACAAGCAAGCATACAGCTCAAGGTAATGGTTGGAAATACCTATAAGACAGATTTTAAGCATGGAAGTGGAGGAAATATGGAAGTAAGGAGGAAAGCAAGAAAAGCAAAAACAAGGAAAAGAGAAGGAAGTCAGGAGGTACTAAAATTTCTTAAAGCACGCTCCTTTTCTCAAAGCATATTTCAAGCTCTTAATTTTTTATTTTCTCTTGGCTTCCTACCTGATGTTTTTGTAGCCAATTTGGAGGCAAATTAATCCGGATTCCCATTGGGAAGTCTAGTTTTGGAGGGGAGGGAAGCACTCCCTACCTACAATAGAAGACTCCATCCTCAGTGTTGGAACCCAAAACATGTAGTTAAAATAGTGGATATTCATCAGCCCAAGACATTACTCTAAACATGTCATACACAGGTACAAACTTAGAATCCTAAAACACGAGTTGTTACCCTATAGTATGATCCATGACAGAATTAGCACAATGTCGAAGAAATCTTCCTACACATCTCAGAATCAATCTCTTCTAGCCAAGCAACAAATCTTGTTAATTTTTTTTCCTTAACATGCTGAGGGAACCCCCAACTCCAAAGAGAAGCATATACATATTTTAGAAAGGTAAAATGTAAGATACGCTCAATAAATCCATATGAATATCTAAGAAGTATGATTATCACAAAAGAACACAACATCAGTTTCACTACATCAACAACAGGTCAACAAAAATTATATATTATACAATAGAGCAAAATAGCAGGAAAACAAACCAAGGAAGAAGAGAACTTTACAAGTTGATTAGATTAGGTAATGATGGTCAATCCGAATGTGAAGAAGAAGAAGAAGAAGAATCATAGTAATATTGGGGAGGAGGCGCAGCAACAAAATCTTGGTTATCATAAAGTGATGAAGATGAAGAAGAAGCAGAAGAATTGTAAGAGTAACGGCGATAGTAATAAGGGTCAGGAGGGACACAAAGGAAAGTCCAAACACAACGAGCTAAGCGACCCAATTGTTGAAGAGGGAAGCAGATGACCAGATCCAAAAGCTCTTCGCTGTCAATTGGGTCTGCCAGACATGACAAAAATTGCCAAACTTCTGCTGATGTCTTTGCCACTGACACCAGTAATACTCCATTGAATGGCATTTCTCTAATCCTTCAATTTCAATGTCAAATTTTTTTGGGTTTCTAATACTCCATGTCCCTTCTTCTTAGCATTTCATCAAGCAGTTGGTGTTGTTGACCACGGCTTGAGTTGGTAGCAATAATATGTTAACTCTATTTGTTGTGCTAACACCATGTTTGGCCAAATTTAGTTTTATTTGAGACTGCTTATTTTCTTTAAAAAAAAATGCTTAATGTAATCAAATCTTTGGCAGAAAATAAAAAGTTTTCAAAAGTTAAAAAGAAAGCTTGTTCATAACAGTAGTTTTGAAAAAATATACATTTAAAATTGTTTTTAAAAAAACTTGGTCAAATACTAATTATTAATAAAAAGTTTTTTTATTTACTTATGAGAAAATGGTCAAAAGCCTTCCCTACCTATAGCCGGATTTCAACTACACACTCATATTTTACGGGGGTCCTATTACCCCCTGAACATTTTAAAAGTAGAATATATAACCCCTTAATAACTCACCCCCAGATTCGTATTAAGTAGTGCTGGACACGCGCCCGCCACGAAATATATATTTTTTTAATGTATAAAATTCAATTATTTTGTTTTCTTTCATCTCCCGGCATGGCATCAGCCACCGACCGGAGATTTTTCATCCATTTTCATCCAAATTTCTCTCGATTCAATCTTCAAAAATCCCCAATTTTTTTTCAATAATCGCCTAATTACCCTTCAAAATCTCAATTTCTACACCATTTTCTGCTTTTTCTCTCAATATTGATGAAATTTCACTCAAAATCATTAACAATTTAATGCTTCAAAAAGTCGGTCAATTTTGGGGATTAAATTTTTAGATGCAGTTAGTTTAGTTTAGTTGGATAGAAATCTTTAAAATGAAGATATTGTAAGATTTTTGTACTATTCGATATTTATTGTAGATTTGATAGTCAAAGCTTTATCAGATCTGAAATAGGAAGGTAGATGCAATACCTAACTATTTAAATTTTGTGTTTATGCTTGAATCTGCATTTCCTACTTTAAAAATCTTGAAGCTACAAAGAAAGTGGCAATGATGGTTCACAACGAAATTGATGGTTGATGGGTCTGTTCTCACATAGTGGAAGGCCGATGAAGACGAAGAATTGGTGGTGGATGAGGAAGTTCACATGGTGCCGCCGCTGCTGCAGCCCATGTTGTTGTTGCTGGTGTTTCTTGTTAAAGAGAAAGAAGAAAAGGTTGCTGGTGTTTCTTGTTAAAGAGAAAGAAGAAAAAGAACGTTAAAAGTAAAATAAAATAAAATAAAAGGAAACATAAAAAAAAAAATTAATAATGAAATAAAAGAAACACTTATAAAGTTAAAGTTTTATTATTTGTTTTTGCTCACTCTCTCAAAGAGAGTGAACTACACATTCATTGCTACCTTAGCACATAGGGAGCAAATAACTCCATTTTAAAATAGTCTAAGAGGGTAATAGGACCACCCTAAAGAATGAGTGTGTAGTTGAGCTTTTGACCATTTTCTCTTTACTTATTGATCAAATACAAATTATTTATCACGAATAATATTTTTTTGAAAAGTTCCTTTTATTTTTATTTTTTTAAAAAGAGCATTTTTTAAAATACAATGATTTTAGAAATTTGTCCAAATAGGTATTATCCTTTAGAGGGTTAGTAATTTTTTCTTTTTCAACTAGAACGTTTAAAATTTTGTTACTTCCTCTGTATCAATTTATATGACTTACTTTCTTATTTAGTCAGTCCAAAAAAGAATGACACATTTCTATGTTAAGTACAATAATTTAACTCTAAAATGTCTATTTTATTCTTAATGAAATAATTTATAACCACACAAATTTCTATCATTCATTTTAGACCACAAGTTTTATAAGTCTTCCTTCTTTTCTTAAACTCCGTGCCGAGTCAAAGTACCTCACATAAAATGGGACGGAGGGAGTATAATTTTACTTGTATCTACCTATGAAATATATTCGAGATCCAACATAGCAAAAAATATTTTTAAATAACCGTAATTTCAAAAAACACAATGTCCGTCATTTAGTAACGGATCACATTTTCAATACTCATTTTGAAAAGACGACACACATGTACGTTATTAATGTTTTCAACCATATGTAGAATCGCATTACTCCACTCATGCTAGATAGGTATTGCTCGTGCTGCTAGCACATGCCCAACGTATAATTTATTATGTAACTAAAATTAATGAGTTGAGTATTAAACAAATAAAATAAAATATGTTTCAATAAAAAAAATTACTAATTTGAACATATTATAGCTGCCAAATTTGTTCATTATATATTCATGTGAATGTCAAACTACTGAATGTTGAAATGAGATATTTACATAGTTTGAACATTTCTATATGTGAGATTGTTAATTACATTTACATACTATTTTAAATTAGACAAAAACAGATGCATCTTTCATGATTGAATCTTCTAGATCATCTTTGATCAAAATCACCAGTTACATTAAAATTGAGGATGAAATGTCAGTGTTTCAGGTGAAAAAGTAATGAAGGATTAAAAATCATGTTCAATTATGACAAAATCACAATTATTTTATGTCCAACAAGTGTCTACCTACAATGCAACAAACAACCAAGAAAAAACACCAGCATCATATGTTTTTGTCGAGAACTCTCCCTACAGAAATTTACTTATCATAAAATTTTGAGTTATAATTTCCAGCTAAATACATTTAAAGAAATTAACTACTAAAAGAGGATTCTATAAATTACAACATTGATTAAAAAGAAATTAAAAAAGGGAGTGAAACAAATAATTTACAGAGCACTCCAGTTTGATGAATTTCCCCAGAGAATCAGTTTTAAATTAATCACATAAGTTATACAACACAAAATCACATAAAATGCGACAACATCAAATTTCAACTAAGCCTCGTCCTGAAGCCCTATTTCACCATTGAAGCATCTTCTTCATTATTTTGTTCTCATTTTCAAAATTTTCAACTCTCTCATATGTTGAATAGATGATCCTTCACCTCAACTACATGTGTTAATCATTATTACTTGCATGTCATGTTAAATTTTGTGTAATGAAAAGTTTTGAAGAAGTAAAAAAAATAGAAACAAATACAGGGTTAAAGAAATGTAATATCAAGTAAAATTGCATTTATGTAATCCTATAACAAGATCAACTTGAGAAATAACATGGCAGTAGAAGTGTTTGACCAAATCCTATCCCAAAATTTGGATAAATTTTATTTTAATGAGGCTTACTTCATTCACAAAGTGTAAATTCACTGAATTGGGAGGGTAAGGAGAGAGTGAGTGTAACCACATAGGGTTCCCCTTCTATCTAAGAAAGAGATTTGTTTGACCAATTTTGCTTGCTTAGGCAAAGTTGATATTAGATGTAGCCTGGTCCAATATATCTTTGAAAAGCTACAGTGGTCAAGGTGCCAAAAGTAGGACCTGAGCCCCTATGTGCCGATTAATAATTCATCTCAGGGTACATTGACTTATTAATGTATTTTAAATTTAATAGAAGTAGTTACAGCAAAAGCCTATTACTTTGAAAAGTAGGTTCATCCCATGTCAAGCATATGGACTGAAATCTCTTATATGGTTCATCACAAGCAAAATATGAAATAAAATAACTTGTGGAGGGTATTAATTCTTTGTCATAAGTTACTCAAAGAGATGTAAGGCAAATATATTATTGTATATTCTAATGTAAGTTCTAAAATGTTTTGATAGCTCAGAATTTTCAAGATAAAGACTCTTTAATTTTATTGAAATCTCATGTGAAGTTAATTGAACATAACCATTGCTACAACAAAATGCAGGCGGTTCATATTCAAATTTTATGGCTTCACAAAATTGACATTTTGAGACTTCTTATAATTTGATATAATTGAGTTTTGATGGCATTGTACTACCTATTTTGGATGGGAGTGACATGGGATCTCTCATTAGATGAGAACTTTGTGCAAGAGAAACAATGGTAGAATTAAAAGACGATCCAGTAGCCAAGTCATTATTCATTGAACTTTCAGATAAGTTATATTTTCTCATTTTAGCTCTCTTTGCTCGATTGCGTGCCAGAAGAATCTCTTTTTTCTTAGGTGGCATCAATCTATATAGTTCGCGTCTCCTAGCATTTCTATCAGATTTTTGAAAGCATGCACATTTTTATGGTTTCTATTACTTGATATCTTTGAGGCCAAAATAATTTTACAGGAAATAATTATGTGATAAATGATAGTAATAACAACTTTAAAAAGGGATTAATTGAGTAATACTAACAACACACTGAGAGGAAAGTGAAACACATGAGCGAACAACTACCTCATAATAGTGGAAATTCTGTAAAGTTAATAGTTCAAAACATATATTAAATCTTATTTAATAGACATGTATAACAGAGTAAGAAGTAAAAAATACTAAAAATAAGAGGTTGATTTAGAAAGTATTATAGAAGAGAATATGGAGTGAAAATAGTAACAAACAACATATAGCTTTTTTCCATTTAAGTTTCAATAATTGATAAGTAGAAAATAGCAAACAAAAATCAATGTGCAATTCATGTACTAGAACAAAAGAACCAAGTTGCAAGCTTCCTATGACAACACTGTATCAACTGGAAGTTCCATTGCTCGAAAAATCACTTCATGATTCATGCAACATTAAGCAAAAAAGATGTAACAGTGCATCTTTTAACCTATGTTGCGCGAACTCTTCAAAAATATCAGTGGGTGCGTGTCAGATTCTCCAAATGTAGTGTATTTTTTGAAGAATTTGACACGGGCACAACATCAAAAGTGAAAAGTCTGCGCAACATAGCTTTCAACACACTATAATATTGTTATTTTCTATTTTTCTCTTTGGCTAATTTTCTTGCACATAGCTGGTCACTTCTACTTTATTTTATTGCATTTACAACTTCTTAGTACCAAGTACATAGCTGATCACTTCTACTTTATTTTACTGTATCATGTTAGTAACTATGACATACTAAAAAGGAAAAGATTAAATATAAACTATGACAAAGACAAATTTATGTGAACCATGAAATTTTAT